GCTTCGTTAATTTAAATTGATAATATTAAAACATAATTAATATTATTAATTGCTATCATAATCTGTCATTTCACTTTCGGGTAATTTTGTTGAGGCGTTGCTACACATATCATCTATTAAATCGTCGCGAAGCTCGCGAGCCTCTGGCGAAGCGTCTTCATCAACAAAATTATTTTGAAATCTTAATAATTCCTCGTCTGTTGGTCGTCTTTTTTAACACTTTATAAAGTTTATGTATCCAAGAATTAGTATGAAAATTATAATTACCCCTACGATAAAATCCACCACATCTACATAGTTTCATTGGCATATTATTATATTATATTAAATTAGAATATCTTTATTCATCATTTGTAATTTGAAATGCCTGTTCAAAATTGATATGAAACATTTTGTTAATGTCTTTAGCATTCATATTCACGTAGAAAAATAATATGGAGCAAAATTAACGGCTTGATGATACATATCTAATAATTGCTGTTTATCAACAATGGCGCTATTTTCTTCAATAAAACTCATTACTTCACTGGCATTTTTCAACCTAAAACATATAATGAACTGGCATTTAAACGAATGATAGGCGCCAAAACATTGAATTTTTGTGTTGAGCACATCACACTTACTGCATCGTGCCTGCCTCTTGTAAATAATCCATGTAATAATTTAGTATATCTAACAAATTTAGGGTCGTCTGCGTGGTCATCTATAACGATTAATATTGAGTGCAGTTTCTTTATCTTTTTAGACTTCATATAGTTAATAATTTTCTTCTGTCTTTCAATTACATTTTCTAAATCACTTGGATTATAATTATCAAAATAAATTTGTTCTTTTTCATCATCCACGTGCAATTCATCCCTGATATATTTTTTAACTTCTGTAAATGTAGGGTCGTTATGGACACTGGGTGAAAATATAAATATTCTTGCAAATGAATTTCTATAAACATTCAATATTAAATTTTGAATAAGGACAGTCTTTCCGCCTGTCGAAGAAGCAACTATAATACTTCTAAATGGTAATTTTGGCACGTGCTCATATTTGGATTGTTTGAATTCATATTCAGTTATGTTTATTGGTTTTATTATTGGAACATCTGTCATAGTTGATATTAAAGAAATTAATATTATTTATTGTATGAAAGCATTGCTATGATATGAATGGTGTCTATCGTAGTAGAACAGGCTCTTTCATCAACTTCAATCAATAAGCATTGAAGACAATTAGTTTGTGTCTTGCTTGCGTGTTGCAGTGAAAACCCCAGTGCTGAGCCCCGAATATTCTATTATGCATGAAAATATTAAGATTAAATAACTATTTTATCTTATTATTTATATGAATAGGAGTTATTCAAATTATATTAATATAATAGATGAAGTAGAAAATATAGAACAGGTAATAATTACTGACAATAAAATTAAAAAATGTTGTTATTATTCATTAGAAATACTTAAGCTAGGAATACAATATATCAAAAATAAAAATGTAAATATTAATATAAATGGTGAAAAAGAAAAAGAAAAACAAAAATAAGACAGGTTTAAGTGTTTCTTCAACAGATGAAGATAGCGGAGAAATTGTTAAAGAAACAGCAGTAATTGAGGTTGCTTGTCCTATGTGCAAAAAGATGTTAGAACTTAAAAATGAGTTAGAAATACAAAGGAAGGGAAATTGTAAATGTAGTTGTGTGCCAGTTGGTTTTAAAGTAAGTAAAAATGATAAGAAATTGAATATTGATAAAACTAAAGACAGTATCAACTTAGAAACTGATGTCCATAATATAACTTTTAAATTTGGTAGGCAAGCAACACCATCCGATAATAATGAAAACGAAACACAGGAAACTGTTAAACAAATGATGAAAATATATAATTAAATAAATAAATATCTAAATAAATATATAGTAATGTCTGAAAATGAAAATTATACTATTAATGATTTAATGAAGAAGATAACATTAATTAGTAAAAATATCAAAAACTTAAATGATACGATTAAATCCATTGATGACAAAATGAGACCAGTTGAAAGCGAACAGCAGGAGAAGGAAAAAATCGAAAAGATATTTCAATCAAAATCTATAGGAAGACCATCGGGCGACTACCCTACAAAACAAAAGAAATACTGTGATATGTTGAATACAGGAAAAATCAAACAACCTAAAAGCACCACTTTAGAATTTTACAAAATTTCAAAAAATGATGATGGAGTATATGTATTATTTGAATAATTACTATCTAAGTAATTCTAATAATATGAATTTATTAGAATTATTTAGCGGAACAAAAAGCGTCGGAACCATAGCAAAGTCGCTTGGATTTAATGTGATATCATTAGACTTGAAAAATGCTGATATCAACACTGATATTTTGGAGTGGGATTACAAACAGTTTGACAGAAACCATTTTGATTTTATTTGGAGTAGTCCCCCATGCACTGAATACAGCATAGCAAAAACTAGGGGAATTAGGAATATCGAATATGCAAATAATATTGTCTTAAAAACTATTGAGATTATCAAATATGTCAATCCTAAATATTTTGTAATCGAAAATCCACAAACTGGATTATTAAAAAATCAGGAGTTTATGGATGAGTTTGATTTTAAAGATGTTGATTATTGTAAATATGGAATGCCTTACAGAAAACGCACTAGGCTCTGGAATAACATTACAACTTGGAAACCTAGAGAATTATGTAAAAAGGATTGTGGCAACATCAGGAATAATAAACATATTGAAACAGCACAACGGCTTCCATCAGGCACCAAGGAAAAATGGGGAGACAATAATACATAAGCAGGAAGATTTATATAAAATACCTAGCGAATTAATTTGTGAAATCTTGGTGAGTTTGACGGATTAAGGATTAACATAGCTTGTTTTTTGGATTAACATAGCTTGTTTTTTGATTAACATAGCTTGTTTTTTGGATTAACATAGCTTGTTTTTTGGATTAACATAGCTTGTTTTTTGGATTAACATAGCTTGTTTTTTGGATTAACATAGCTTGTTTTTTGGATTAACATAGCTTGTTTTTTGGATTAACATAGCTTGTTTTTTGGATTAACATAGCTTGTTTTTTGGATTAACATAGCTTGTTTTTTGATTAACATAGCTTGTTTTTTGGATTAACATAGCTTGTTTTTTGGATTTACGGTGGGCTCACATTCTTAAGATATCTGTTATTTTTTGAGTAGTCCATAAACCATACTATAATAATAACATTTATACCCTTATATGTTATAATTATAATGTAAGTATAGCGTTTTATATATTGAAGATAAAATCCTACAAGGCGGGCCATGCGCAACTCCGGAATATCCAAATGTTGAAAAATGATTAATTATTTGTCTTCTCATTGAATTATTGAAAATGTTGTTTCTTATTGAATAATTCTTCTTAAAATGCTATATATATTTATCTCTTTTGAAAAAACATATTTTCTAAAATATTTTGGAAAATGTGTGTTTTTGAAAATGAAAATGTTTAGGTGTATTGAACTTTTCAAAAAATGATTCAATTTTCGTTTTGGTATGCTGTACTAAAAACATATTTATCAAAATGTGTTTAGACTGTTTCAAAAAATGTTTTAAAATGGCTGTTTTGAGGCGCTTATTCAAAAAATGCAAAAAACCTAGGGTGGACCCTAGACTTTTGAGTCCGAAAAAAGTTGCGCATGGCCTATCCTAACTGTAAGCCCTCATAATCTACAGGAACGCTTCTATCTTTTTAGTTCCACAAATCTCTACCCCAGAGCCTATGTTGGACAGTTGACAGGCATTAATGATAGACATTTTTTTTTTAAAAAATAATAATATTTTTTCGATTGTAAGAATCCGCGTCATTTGCAGTGTAAAGAACCCCTTAGGCACACCGACAGTTGCAGCGGAACAAGGCGCGTGGGGAGAAAAAAACTCTCCGAAGGTACAGAGAGGACTCGGCTGGGGCCTGAAAAAATCCAGCCTTCACCAAAGCCACTCTAAACGCTGAACTCGCTCCATTAAGGAGGCCAGGGGTGCCTTCTCGTTAGACTTGGCGCCTTGACGGACATGCCAAGCGCATCACAAATTTCTCAGTCACGTGCAGAATTTGGGCCGCTTCCAAATTTGGCGGGCAGAGAGCTGCCAGATTAGCGCAGCAGCGGGTTGGAAGTGCAGCGTAATTGTCCTCAAGCCGGCAAAGACGTAGCCTTCACGGCCAAAGAGCTGGCGGCTCCAGAGACCAATTTTGCAGGCTGGGCGAGCTGGAGCGGGGAAATGATGTTGTGCATTAGGTGACGCTGAGAGGCTTGAGGAGCCTTTCGTGCTTGAAACACATGTGTGCAGGGTTTGGGCAGGATGCCTTGCGAGATGCCAACTGGAGGAGAGGTCAAACAAGAAGTGGTGGCAAAAACAGAAAGTGGCACTGAGGCAACCACTGATGTTGCAGTAAAGACTTTGATCATTTGACGCACCATTCTCAGCAAAATACAAACCAAAGCTTCAGTCAGCTTCATGCTTGAGGCATTTAGAGGTTGCATGAGGTTGCCATCCATTTTGAGCGTTGTGTGAAACGCGCCGGTAGGAGTTCGCTTTACTGTGAGATTCTCTGTTTGGGTATGGCTTTCAGTTTCCCACCCTTTGGTGGACATCCTTACATTGTGCCCACCAACTAAACTGATGCCAAGGAAAACGGTTGCAAAGCTATACTCCCCGGTTTCAACCTTGAGGTTGCATTGGCTTTGCTCTCGCTTGGCCACATGCATTTCTTGCCAAGTCATTCTGGGCGATTGCCGCTGGACCGAATGTGCCGCCTTGCCAAGACATTCTGCTCATAGCCACTAGCTTTGTCCCTGCAGGGAGCCCATGGGGGTCGCGTGGCTTAACAAACGAAACGTCACACCCAGTGTGCATCAACTAACTAGGATGCCAGCAGTCAAACCATCACAGGGAGCCATCTTTGACCCGTCGCTCTCCTGCAAATGCTTGCTCATTTGCGTACAAAATCGCCAACAGGCAGGAGGGTGACAAGCACAATTTGCAGCAAATAGATTTGGAAACATGGTGGTTCCTGGCGCCACGCGCTACTTGTCCCGTTCCTTGGCTGCAAGAGCCGTGCGACATTCGCTTTTTGCAGACACCGTGCGAGGGTTTGTGCGCATGCCGTTTCCCAGCCAATTGCAATTAAATGAGGCATCGAGAGCCAACCGCGCACCTACAGTAAGAACTTGAAGGCGCCAGCAGGCACTGAATCCATCGGGCCCCTTGGCAGGAAGAGACATGTCTCAAAGCTGTCAGGGTACAGAAATTCCCTCCAAACCTGGCAAGAAGACAGTTTGCAAAAGAGGACAGTCTAGTGGGTTCCATGCCAGGGACCAGGGGTGCAATGGTGCTTGAATGGCCTTGGCATAGATGCCTTGGGATGCTTTGCAGGTATGCGGTGAATGAGTCTGCCCAGCACATTGAACCTGGGCGGCAGGGGCAGCTCTTGGGCACCAACCCGCTGAACTTTACTGCGCGGGTTTCATTTTCTTGACATCGTTCTCCAAGGATTACTTCGAACGAGTTGGCCTCTTCAGCAAAAGCTTCAACCAGAGCGTATGGTTCTCGTTCGGTGCCATGCGATGGCTTCTGCTGGTGGCCATTGGGCTGGGTGCTGGGCTCGCCTGGGCGCCCAGTCGTAGTTGCGTTACCAGGGCCACGGATTCTGTTTCAGGATCTTGCCCCGGAGTCGACGTGGAGCCCAAAAAGAGGGAGATCTCAGGAAATGATGAGTTTGTGGGATAGTCTTCGGATTGCTCAAATTGCAACAATGCTTGAGGTCGCTGTATGCGTGGAGCTGGCACTGCATTACCTGACCGAGGCGGATGCAGCTCAATTGACAAACCTGGGGCAAGCTTAGCAACGGTGCACAGTTACAATTGAGCACCCTCACCCAACGTAAGAGTGTGCGCTCCCAGATTCACAGGAGAAGATCAAGCTCATCGACTGGGTGGGCGAAAACACGGATTCAATTGGTCTGCAATATTTGTTTGATGTCAGCTTTTGCCTTTGTGGCTTGGCTGATCTTGACAGCGAAGCTTCCTTTGCCCGCCGTGAACATGTGTGGGCGGGAGCTCCGTGCCCGGCGACACGCAAAAATCTGTTCGCTTGAGGTTCAGCTGCCATCGCCGGCATCCTCGTTTGCTTTGTGGAGGTTTTAGCGGCAGGCAGTGGCATCCCTGAGATCAAATGCTTTTTGCGCCTTGGATAGACTGCACCTGTGAGAGCCCCGCAGCAGATTTGAAGCGTTCCGTGGATTTGGGATGAGGCAGAGTCCCAGCTGCCTTCTTTTTGAGCGTATGTTTGCAACATCTCACCTTTGTCCACGCAGTGCGCTGAGGAATGGCATCCACTTGCCGAAGCTCGTGACGAAGAAGACGCTTTTTGCCAAAGCGGCCGGCATCGTTTTCTCAGCCTCCTGGCTTCCTCATTTTTGCGTGTTGCCTTGGTGGGGCATTTGCCGAATCGCATTTTTACTTACGGCGATTTTAGCCCGCCCGCTGCTGTCTCAGGTCACTGCAGGGCTGCCTTGTGGCAAGGAGGGCCCCATGATTCACAGCGGCGCCATCGTAGGAGCTATGGTAGCGTCACCTGGTGGAAAGAATTGGCCTGGGTGATGTGCTTTCAAAAGGCACAACGAGGCTCAATGTGATTACCCCGTTTTTGAGCCGCAGCCGGCTGGTGCTTATCATTCTTTAATGGTCAGAGTTGGCCTGGGCAAAAGAAACGGTGTCCATTTGGAGTTGAGTGATCTATTCCGGTGACTGGCTGCCATATTTGCGTATGTCTTGCTAAGATACTTGAACCTGGAGCGCCGGCTGCGACCCATGAATTTGGATGTCGCTTGGGTTGCATTCAGGCCATCATTAAATTTGAGGGAATGAGTTGAAGAGGACGGCAAGGGCGTCACTTCCGCGTTTGTTGCGCGCTAGGTCGAGATGCGTGACTTCGTGGCTGCGGGTGCTGCTGCCGGCGTCTCTGCGGCCTTCGGTGCGCCCATTGGAGCCGTCCTGTTTGCCGTGGAGGAGGGCGCCTCCCACATGACACCGAGGACGAGTTGCCAGGGATCTGATTTGAAGTTTTTGAAGTTTGCAAGATCTTTGCGTGAGGATCCTCACGCAACTCTTCGTGTCCAGCTCGGTTGCCACGCTGGTGACACGCCTCACCCTCGGCCCGATCCTGGAGCACCGCCCCATTTTCTTGCTGCATGCTGCAATCAATCAGTGAAGCGCGGGGGGACTTGGCGGTGTCACGCATTCATTTTCCGGGGCTCGGCGGGTTTGAAGATAGGGAAGCCCACCATGGTTCCGCAAGGCAGCTGTCGAGAGCCGGGTTGGCTTCCGAGATTTTTTGAGCTCAATGTCATTTTTCAGACTTCAGAATCTGACTTCATGCTGTTTGCCGGCCAATGGACAAACCGCCGCTCCTGCATAGCGCATTGGCATTGGCATGCCAACAAACCCTGCGACAGTTGTGTACGCACCGCAGCGTGTGCTGAGCCAACGGTCTTTGCAAAAGGCATACCCACCATAGAATCAAAAGTCAACGGGTTTTGGGCTTATAGATTTTGAGCCTATGCAGCTGCCGACGGCCTTCAGCTTTGAGAATTGGGCGAAGCATGCCAAACTCAAGAGCTCCCCTGCAGATTCACATGGAACCCAAAACGAGGGGTCCCCTAAATGGATATTTTTTTGTACATGATGGTTGGCAGCAGGTTCTGCAGAGCAGGGGGTGTCAATCTAGGGTTTTGGCATGTGCGCTACATACTTGGGGTTCGCCTTCACAGCCACACGCCACGAAAGCTTGCGTGCGCCTGCTCACCTGCTTGCCTGCTTGCCTGCTTGCCTGCTTGCCTGCCTGCCTGCTTGCCTGTCTGCTTGCCCCGCCTGCCCGCCTGCCTGCTTGCCCGCCTGCCTGCTTGCCTGCTTTCCTGCGAGCCTGCTAGCCTGCTTGCTTGCCTGCCTGCCTGCCTGCCTGCCTGCTTGCCTGCTTGCCTGCTTGCCTGCTTGCCTGCTTGCCTGCTTGCGTGCCTGCCTGCCAGCCCTGGTTGCTGGCTGGCTTCCTGGCTGGCTGCTGGCCCAGCTTGGAGGCTCGTGGCGTTGCCAAAACATGATTTTTCCAGTCAGCGATGTCAGGAAAGGCGATGGTGTGCTTGCTTCACGTTTGTCACTGGTAGCGGAGCCCCCGTGATGGCCGGGCAGTACGCGGGTTGGCGGACGCGGTGAAGCTCAGGGAAGAGAACGAGGTCAAAACGCTTTGGAGGTCACGCAGGAGGTCGATGTGTCAGTGATTGTGTGAGCGCGAGGAACCTGACCACTCGCCGGGTGTCAGCTGGGTTCATGTTGGCCGATTCCCGCACCCTAGTCAGGCGAACTTTGAGCTGGCCAAAATGGGATGCAGGCACTAGAGCATGGGAAGGCCCCCCGGAGGATGGTTCCCCAGAACTCTCAATACCGTCCCGCGACAGGGCCAATGAGTGAAGGAAAGGTGATGGCGTGCTTGCTTCATGTTGGCCAAGAGCCGTTGCTGATTTATTTTTCCCGTGATTCTGCTCCTCCGAGGTTGGGCACCGGTGTGCCAGTAAGTTTTGGCCGCTTCAAAGACGAAATCCAGCACCTTGGCAGCGATGAGCTCTAGCCGTTGACAAGGTTCGGTCCAGTTCTGACTGCTAAAAAGGCAGTTCTCCTGATGCGGAGAAGGCGCATCAGCACGCCAGGCTGCTTGTCACAATTCAGGTACAATTTCATAGAGATGGTCATTTTTGTCATCATGGGGGTGTGCGCTGGCTTGCTGGGGGCTTTGTTCAACCACTTCAACGGCCGCCTTTCCAAGCACCCTTGCTGCAATCAGTCTTGTACCCGGTATGCTCCAAGCGGTGCCGGGATGACACATTTTGAATGCAAAGTGGCATCATCAACCGCAAGCTTTGCATCGCACTTTGGTTTAGGTGGCGGAAGCGACATATTGGTCCAACTGGTTGCAAGCGTTTCATTGAGGCCGGCTCGGACAGCCGTGGGCAATTTTGATCATGCCAAGCTGCGTCCACACATTTTTCATTTTCATATTGTGCAATTTGTGCAGCATCAATCCAACAAGTAACGAGTACACATTGGTCGATGCTTGAAATTTCGGCCATCTCGGAGCTGATTCGATGCAGGTGCTTCTGGTGACTTTTGCCATCGTTAGCCTGAAGTTCTGGGTGCCCACCCTCTGGAAATTCGCCGGGGAAGGCGTGGCCCAGTCTTTCATTCCAACTTGCGCACCATTGCAAGTGTCAGAGTGTCAGAGTGTCAGCCAGGCGCTTACCAGATCCAGTTCGAAGAACTCACTCACACACAGCAGCTGTGGTTTGAAAGCGGGCAGATGTCCCTCAGTGCCTCAGTTTGGTTTTGGCATGTCTCGTCGCACCAAGCGGCAATGCGCTGCAAAGGCGACTTGTTCCACAAGGACACGGGCTTTGAGGACATCGGACTTCTCTTTTTCTTCGGTTTGTTCAACCTGGCCATCGCCTGCTGGACGTGACTTGACATTTTGCCTGCGCTCAACCTCCTGTGCCTTTCAGTAACATCGTTGCGCCTGGTCATCACACAGGCACCATCAAAAATGTGAGTTGTCCTTTGCCTCAGGCCTTCTAAACCTCCAAGCTTGGACCTCAGATGTACCTGTGCCCCACCCATTAAATTTCGTTGTATACACCTGTCCAAAAACAGGAGAAGGCCTTCACCATCTTTTTGAGTGGGCAAAGTTGGCGCGCTATCTCCAATGTCAACAAAACGCCACAAACGGCTAAGCAGTACATAGGAGACTTCTCAATCCGATACTAAATCGAAACTAGACCAATGCTAAGCCAGCACTAGATGAAAACCAAGTCAGTACGAGCCCAATACTGGACCAACACTAAAACAATACACAACCAATCTTAAGCCAATACTAAGCCAATACTAAACCAATTCCAAGCCGGGACTTGGACCAACACTCAACCAATGTAAAACTAGACCGATAGACGACTAGCAAACCAAAATAAAACCAATTCCAGGTCAGAACTACTTCCCAGAAGCGATACGAAGTTGATACAAAACCAACACAAAACAAAGCACTGAAAAGGACCGAAGTGGACCGAAGAGGACCAAAAAGGACTAATAATACCTATTTTATGGCAGGTACCCCAACTCCGTTTTTGCTAGTCTTTGCCCGTGTGCGCAACATGTTAGCGGGGCCACCATGATGCCTGTAGCATGGACCAAGAGTTCGCGGGGTGAAGATGACTGGCCTGAATCAGCGTGCGACCTGAACAACGCGTGACTGCGAGTACTGCTGTCTTGCCACTCTCTGCAAGCAATTCAGTCAATTGAAAGAATGGACGACCGCGTGAGATGAAGCATGGTTTCTCTCCGATTTACGGCCTCGCAATCTCCTCGTTTAGGCCTTTCTAGGGGAAAACACGTTGCAAAGTTTGTTCTGCTTCGATCTTTTTTGCAATCCCACGCCATGAGCTGGAGGCTGAAAGCAATTGCCTCAGGTTCGGCTTGGGCGTCCCATCAGGGCTGTTCGTGCCCTCTCTGTTGACTGGCGCAGTCTTGGGGCGCTGTGTGGGCGAGCTCTTGCGGCTAGCGCCGCACTGGGTGCGCCCGGCTGCAAGTGTGTCGTTGCATGTGGGAACACTTAGCCGCACAGCCCATGTCCTCCCAAGCTCCCAAACTTGTATGAGTTTGGAAAAGGCGTGGCATTCCAAGAAGCCTGTTGTGTATCAAGCCTTGTGACCTTTGAGTGGCCAGCCCGAGAGTGAGAGAATTGAAAAGATGCAGAGTAGGTCTTGACAGCTTGCGAGCTGGTGATTGCTGTAGTTTATGGCCAGAGTGACACTGTGGCTGATGTTAATCACGTTTTGCCATGTGCAAGGCATTGTGCAATCTAACTTGCTTCTGAGAGTCTTCAGTGATTCATTTTTTTTGTTGTCCACGTACTTGAGGTTCTAGTGCACTGGGCGCATCCTGGAATTTATGCCCTGGTCGGAGCCTGCGGAATGCTGGCCGGAGTGGGCAGGAGCGCCGGGATCCGCATTTGGAACAAGAATGCACTGCGGTCGCACCGCCATGTCTCCTGATAAGATGCTTAGGACTTAGGACTTAGGCTTGGTGTGCTACGAGTTGTGCATTTGGAAAGCGTGACAGCGTGAAGGATCACCATATCTTTGGCCATGATCCTGACGGAGGCCACTGGCACTGGCGTCTTTGGTCTTCCCATCTTCACGGTTGTGGTCATTGCTACGTGGGTAGGCAGGGTGCATCGCATCCAATTTGAAGGTCCTTCCAAATGCCCTCACTGTCGTGACCAGAGATGCGAGCTGAGTTTGGCATGCCAGGCAATTATTTCAATCGCGGCATCTACGACCTGCACATTATTGAGCTGAAGCAAATCCCACTGCTTGAGCATACTCCTGCAGATGTTATGGTCCGCTACAGCGTCAGGGATGTCATGGCGACTGAGGCACGACAAGCTGCAAGTGGATTTAGGCCAACGGTCACACTAGGCTTCATCCCCACTTGTTCCGGGCATGCGCATCTTGTGAGCATCTCTGATTTCTCAATTGATTTGCAGGTGGTGGCCCTTGATTCTTGGGAGAAGGCAAGGTCACGCAGATTGGATACCGTGCTGTCACGGCAAATGATGCTGGAGACTGGAATGGTGTGAGCATCCTCTTCTTTTGCAGGTGGGCAATTTGCTGCAAATACTGGACTCCTGCGGTCACAACGGCTTCCCTGTGCTGCAGAGTGGCACCAAGAAGTTGGAGGCACCCGCAATTGCGCAGCTTGAGCTCCCTGAGCCTTGAGAATGATTTTGGCTCAGGGCCTGATCGGGCGGAGTTTTCTGCACCTCCTTTTGTCTAGAGGCCGGGCAATGTGACAAGTGGCAGGCAGATGCGGCGAGCAGATGCAATGCAATTGCGAGGTCGGTACTATGGGCTGTTCACTCCGGAGCCAGAGCATGGGGGGACGGGCTCCATCTTGCCGTTTGAGGCACCGGGAAAGCCATTGCTAGATAGCAAGTCTCGAGCTTGACCTGGCGCTTGGCGTGGCGTTCCTTCACGGCCCTACCTTTGGCCCCCGCGATTCACGGGCGGTGAGCGATGTCGCTGCTTGACACCCCAGGCAATTGCGTGGCCCAACATCAACCAGTATCCCGACCTTCCGGAGCTGCAGAAACGAATCTCCAAGGAAGACTTGGAGATGTATATCGACCTGCGGCCGTGTCAGAGCTGCATTGGATCCTGTTGGCGTGGGACGGACAACCCTGTAGCAGGCGCTCGCAACACAGCAATGGCCCCGAAGCCTTCACTTGCAGGCTTTGTGTGCATGTTAATATATAGAAAGGCATGTCCAAGATTGCCCGAGTGGAGCTTCTCATTCAATTGGAACGTGCAGCATAGATTGATGTTTGCCCATGACGCTGTCCACTGGTTTGGGTGGTGTGCCTGTTGGGATCAAACTTGGAGCGGAGGCTCAACCAAGCGGACACCAGCAGATGTTGGCAGTCGGTGCCAGTTCTGAAAGCAGTGAGTGCAAGTATTGAAGTGCCGCATGGAAAGGTCTCAGGCATTTGTTGATTTTGGGCTACAGCTGAGACGGGGGCGTCTTCACCCTTGCCTTTCTTAGGTGTGGCTCCAGGTCTGCACGATTGAATCATGCCTGTTTCAGTGATTGCCCCGGGAATCGATCCCCGTTCACCACTTTTTTCAACCATGGTTACTTGGTGGTCCCCAGGCAGACTCATTCGACATTGGCCAGACCGCTAGGTACGTGACCACCAGCTACACCATCACGCCGAACGCCTCCATGGCGAGCGCCTTCACCCTGCTCCGGCAGCTGGGCTTGCGGCACCTGCCGGTGCTGGAGAGCAATGGCGACCTCTGCCTGGGACCCAAGGAAGTCTAGGGGCTGGGGTGATATGGTTTCATCTCTTTTACTTGCCCACACGGGAATTGTGCGGGGGGGGGGGGGAAAGAGAACCTGTACCTGCTGGGAGCGCAGGTCTGGGAGCAATTCAGGATCTTCCCTTCAGTGCTTGGGATCAAGCAACTTGTTGCAGATCCTGTTTTTGAACATAGCGACGGGGGGGATCGTCATGTTCCCACTGACAAGGGGAAGCTGTCTTGGGAGCGAATGGGCAGGGGAGGAATGTTACCACAAGTGACAGGCAAAGAACAAATTGGAGGTTGCGAAGCCAGGTAGGAGAGTAACGTGTGCACAAGTAGGTGATGCCGCATTTTGCGACCAACACTCCTGAGCTTGAGCTTGGGGGGAGGGTAATTGCAAGAACTCTCCCGGGAAAGTGGAGGCCCAGGGTACTCCCCTGATTGTTTGGCACGACGTTCAAGGCTCTTTTGGGCATTCTGCTTGTGGGGGAAGGGCGCTTGGCTTCGCAGAGGCAAGATGCATGATCAGGGAAAGACTTGAGCGATTCTGCAACCATGTTGCCCCAGATTACATGACCACCAATCACGTTTGTCCACTTCAGGCGGAATCCTCACCAGAAAGGACAGGCGGGGGAAATGGGCAGGACGCGCAAGTCCTGCCTGCTGATGGCATATGAGGTTTAGTCAAACCTTGCGGTAGTCTACGTTCTATTTGAGAGGGACATGGGGGACCCATTAAACTTTAGAGCCTCCGGCTCAGTCCGCCGACATTGGCATCTAGCTTGTCTCCTTCTTCCTCTCGCCCGTGTCCCCCTAGTATGCTCTTCTGTCCTCTCTGGTTCCCCCATCCTCCCCGACACGCCGAGCAATGTCGGCGGAGTGTTGAGTGCCACCAAGAGGGTGCTCCCAAAAAGGGCGCCGAACCATGCCTCCAGGTAAAATGTTGGGAAAGGGTGGCGACCAAACAGGGCGTCCAATTGCGAACAGGAAGGCTCGCCGTTTAGGGCACCTTAGTGCTGGGTGGTATGTCATGGCCACTGCATGTCATTTTGGCGGGGTGCGCGGATAAGCTGATTTCTGAGGGGTGTTGAGGTTGCCCCTTGTACGGCATTCTTGCTTGCGAGAAGCGTGGCTTAGCATGGCCCAAGTATCCGACACGAAGGACATTGGGGGCGACACTTGGAAGGAAGCTGGGGTTGGGGAATTTGCCAGGACATTTGGGGGAAACTGGGGGGGAAATTGGGGGGAAGTCGGATGGAAATTGAAAGGAAAGTGGGAGGGATTGGTGAGAAAGTAAGGCGCAATTTGCGGGGAAGCATTGGGGGAAATTAGGGGAAATTGGGGGGAAATTGGTGCCAATTGTCAAGGAAATCGGAAAACACAATGTTTTTTCAATGGTGTCAGCAAAGGAAAAACACCGAACACCGTGTGTCTCAAAGTTCTCCGCAAAAGGCAGCACAAAACCTCAGCCGGCAGAAAGAGGCGGCGGGAGGATTCGAGCCTGGGACCCCCGTTTCTCCAGACCCGCTCCCCGAAGACTACGTTTAGTGGAACGTCATCAAATTGCCGCGCGGTACGCGGGGGGGGGGGGTGGCGACCGAAAAACCATGCGTATTTGACGTGTCCCCGGGGAGGGACTAAGGGGGGGGTTATCCTCTATCCTCTCTTAGGTATCCAATAGTCCTCTCTTAGGTATCCGACACGCCGAACAATGTCGGCGGATTTCCCACACAAATGGAAAAGAACCATGTGGACTCACAAATGTTTCCATGTGCTCTTGGGAAACACGTCATGGAGGCTGTTTCCCAGAAAGCATAGCCGGCTGTAATTCACAGCGGGTTCACCAAGAGGTCGCCCGAGAGATTCCAAGATGAGAGATTGCTCAGGGAGATTGCCCAGAGAGACTGCTCGGATCGATTGCACGTGAGATTGCGTTTGAAGACTTCAGCCAGATCAGAAGACTCGCGCGTGCAACTTAGCACGCCCAAGACTTGCGCCACAAAACTCGGACGACTCATGTTTGTGCAACTTGCATTAAACTGGTGTTTCAAGGTGCCGCGCCAGGATCGACCGCAGCCTGCGGGTTTTGCAAGACTTCGACTGTTTGACGTGTCGACCTTCAAAAGCGAGGGACTTTTAATATCTTTTGCGGTCCCTCGCAGCCCTTTGCCGCGAGGACTAAAATAACACCCTCGCGCAACCATTTGCGGCCATCAGGTGGGCGGACCTTCGACAACTGGGCTTTGTATGCTAAACGCTTTGCAGGTATATGCTGTGTTTTAGTTTGCATTGAGGTGTTGTTATTAAAGTGAGTGAGTCGGCGCCGAAATGCATGAGCTGGTTTCCAAGCTGCAGGGTAGGTGCATGTCCGGGCGATTCCACCTGGCTTCAAGGGCCAGAACGAGAGCCCAGAGAGGTACAGAAGTGCAGGTCCAAACTTCTAAACAATTTGATTGTTTTTGGATCAAAATCCTTGTCGAAGTCGACGGGGTCTGACCTCTGGCCCTGGGGGCCGGCTGCTTCCAGGCTTGCTTCAGGCGGACTGGAGGCAGTTGGAGAGGGGTTTTGGCCACACGACATCTGCAAGTCTCTGCGTGCATCTAGCTTCACGCAGGTAGCTCGGCACCGGAATCTTGGTGCAAGCCTCTCTGCTGCGGGAAACTTTTGTACCGGAAAGCTGCGATGTGCTGTCTGCGTCCCTGTTTTTCCTAAAGCAAGTTGCGATTTTTGGGAGCGGGCCAAGGGGGATTCAGGCCGAAGATGCCTCGCTTCAAAGCTCCAAAACCAGCATTTTGTTACCACGCCTTCGTGCGGTTGACGTGCACGACCTGCGGAGTAAGGTTGCGATGGAACGGCAAAAGATAGAATTCGTGTTGCCCCTCAGAGAACCAACCCCGCCCCCCGCCCCCCACCCCACGAGCAAGTTGGGTTGATTGAGACTTGTGCAGGCAAACTTGCATAGAGGTTCTTGCACAGAGAGCTTGCACAGAGACGCTTGAACTTGTGCAGGGAACTTCCATGGGGGTCTTTAGCAGTGAGTCTTGCCGAGAGAATGTGCGGCAGACACGCAAGAGAACTCACACAATTTGCGAAGAGAGCTTGCGCAGACGTAGAGACACAAAGGCACTTGTGCACATGTTGCGCAAAGGAAGCCTCGCCACGATCACGCCGCGTTGTGACATTGTGTCTTTGCGGTGCGCGTGCTCTTGTCTTAGACTAGTAGATTTGTAGGTTTTGGCGTTGTGTTTGAAACCCACCCATTGTCTAGCGGTTTTTCGTGGCTGTGGGACGGCGTTTGGCGGCTTTGGCGGCACCCATACCAAACCAACCCTTAACCCATTACAAACCAACCTTTGCAATCTCCAAGCGCTACAACGGTGGGCTTAGGGCTTGCGTAGTGCTGGTTTAGGATTGATTTAGAGCGGGGCTGGGGTTGGGCTTAGGGTTGTGCTAGGTGGGCGACGGGCGGGGGTTGGTTAGGATTTCGGCTCCACAGGGTGTAAACTCACCCTAACCAACCTGAAACAAACCCGAAGAGAACCATATATCAACCCGAAACCAACATCAAACAAACATAAACACCCTAAGTTCCACGCAAACCCTTAAACCCACCCTAAACCCACCCTAAAAAGACTCTAAGCCCACCCTAAAGCAATCCGAAACCTGCCCTAACCAAACTCGAAACAAGCCTGGAACCTTAAACCACAAACCCGGCCAGCCCAAGCCAACCCTAACTTCACCCTACAAAAATACAAACCACCCCTAAACAAACGTTAAACCCGCCCTAAACCCAACCGTAAACCGAAACCAAAGCTTCAACCAGCAGCCCACTGGTGATGCCGGGCTGTTAACACGATGCTGGCGATGTTGACAGTGGCTTTCAAACGCAGGCCAGCTTGTAAGACAATGGCGTCATTTACAGCATGTGGGCACCTCTGGAGGAAAACCAAGTGTAGCCTTTGTCAGTGATTTTGGGCGAAGCCTAAGCACGCCATGTCGCAGGACTTGATCCTGATGGAGGAGGATGAGGAGACAGGTGAGATGGTGCAGAGGCAAGGGGGAGACTGGATGGCTGGAAAGCTCGACGGCCCATGTTGAAACACAACTATGAATGTTTGCCCGAACTCCAGGGTGTGTCCTTTTTTCTTTTTGCTTGCGCCTCGCCCAGATCGCGGCCGCCTGCCCGGGTTGACACCCTCTGGTCCTGGTCCTTGAACTTCAGGAAGGCTGAGATCATGGAATCCGATTCAGCGGAGGCGCGTGCCCTTCAGCTTGAAATCGGCACCCGGGCAAGTTTCTCACCTTTGCCAGGACACCGCCGGCAGCGAGATGACCGAAGAAGTGCGCACCGGGGTCGCTGGGCGAATTGTACCCTTGACTTGTCCGTCAGTCGCCTGCCCCAGGCTCAGACAAGCGATGACGAGAATTGCTGCGCAGAAGGCGCCTCAACTTGAAAGGCGCAGAAGGCATTTCAAGGCCCAAGGCAAAGCGGCTTGGGCCCTGGGGCTTGCTGCATTTAAGCTGGTTCCCTTTAGCACTGAGGCGAATCTGGCCCTATTGGTGGCTCTTCTGGAACTGGCGGCATGGGTGGCATTGGTGCCTAAGATGCGGCCACCCGCCAAAGCGTCGGGAGAATTTTAAGGATTCACTTTTCGAGCATCTTTTTCCCATTCTTGGCTTCTAGACAATCTGGACTGCCAGAACCTCTCTCACGGGACAAAGTCGACATGATTGAGCAGGTCTCAGGGTGCACAGATTTTGGAGCCGTGGGCCAGTTCCCGTTGCACCAGCAGCGATGATTTGCTCGTGCTGTTTCTGCTTGTTTTCTGTCCTCCCTGCGTTTGGCACATGTTGGCACTTTTTTCAAGCCAGTTTTTGCCATGGGTGGGGAGGATCTATGAGAAATAGATAGCCTATAATTCGTAACCAATTGCAATTCAATGGGCAAGATCAAAACGATGTATCGTTGTGGCAAGACGCTGCGCAGAGGTGGTAGGGCTGGCCTAGGCCCAGCTGCTGTTTTCAGGCTGTCACTCTTAGTTTGCAGCTTGCGCGTTTATATCCTTTGCGGCGTGTTCTTGGTTTGACCACGCTTCAGCCTGAAAGCCAAGCTGCTTTGGCAACTGGAGATAAGCTTGTAAAATTCGCATCTTTTTCCATGCTTGGCAAGGCGGCGCTCCAGGCAGGGCTTCAGACATGCACTGGCATGTGTGCCCTGGCGAAGTTTAAGCACGGGTCTGACATAGGACCGCCTGCGGCCATATTTTTGGCAAGAATTGGCGCCTCAAAACGAGTACCGTTGCAAGAGCTCAACCAGCAAAATTAAAATGCGTCGCCCGTGTGGCGCAGGACCGCTGCCCTCACATGCGAGCGCAGCTTCTAGATTTCTGGCCTGACTCGAAGCACTCCGTGACTCAAGTCGTTGCCATTTTAAAGACATCTAAAATCAATGGCACACAAATTCCCCGTTGCACCAAGAAGCTCGGATGGTGAGTTGAAGCGTGGCTAGAAGTTGAATTCCGACAACGCCACGAGCAAGGCACATCAGGCACTCCATATGAGAGGGCTCCTCGCAGAGACCTAGCCCCATGGCTTCACCTAGCCGCGCCTCAGGAGTTGGGAGCGGCACCCTGAAACAAACCGCGTGCGGCACTTTCTCATGGGCTTCAAAGTCCCACGGTCTGTGTCGCAGATTTTGGGACAGGACTATCGCGCTCCCGGCTTACCGTGAAGGATGAGGCGCGAGCTGTCATGACATGCCGTGGTTGAATCGAAGCCATGCGTGCAGCCCATGAAAAGGTGTCGGTTTCACTGCTCAGTTTAATTCAAGAGAGTTTAGTTCAAGAGACCATATTGAGACTTGAGGTGCGGATTGAGGAAAGCTAAAGTGGTGCATTGACCGCTGCTCCCCTACCCTCTGGTCAAAAACGCAACAAATCAAACGAAACTGCGCACAGCGAGGCTGAAGCTCGGACGAGGAGCAGGTCGAGCACAACCAGGCCCCGGGATGCTGGACACGCTGGGCGCACGTGCGGGCGTCTAACAAATCCTGTGCGGGTCACTCGGTTGAGGCATTCCAAGCCTAAACAAAAGCCAGGCTCACGCAGAGCCAGTTGGCCAAGGTGGTAACTTGGATGCCATGTGCTGGAGTGCCATGGGTTTGGCGAACAGGAGCTGATTGCAACATGGAGCTCAGGTCAAAGATGAGTGCCACAAGATCATGCACTCAGTCTCTAGGTCGGTGCAGCTTTAGTTTCGCGAGCTGCGAAACCACACAGATTTCGCTGGAGCAGAGGTTCAAATTTCTTGCTTGTTTTCTTTTTGCCTTGGCAGCTTCGGACGCATCTTTGGTTGCATGTTGGCATGCTTTCGCTGCGTGAGTGTCACCCTGCCGGCCCGTCGCCAGTATCTACAGCCCGGCGGAGCTGGAGGCTGTAGAGAAGCGGGAGGTGTCGAGCTGAGAGAGATTTGTGGGTTTGCTTCGAGCAGATTGGGTCCCCTTTGTTTTCCTTTTCAGGGTCACACAAGTTTACCACTTTTTTTTTTCCACAGAAGGGTGCCTTTAGGAGAAGGGTCCTCAATGCCTTGCAGCGTATGCTGATGGAAGATGTGGGCATGCACTTGGCCGCAGCGCAGCGCGCACAACCTCAGGCAGCCCGGGAGTTCGAGCCGTGGCCTCGTGTATTTTATTGGGTGAGTTGCCGCCACACGGCCAGCCGGCAGCAAGCAAGATGCAAGTTTCGTTCGTTTCTATTGTCCGATTGTTCAGCCTCCATTTGGCGGCTCTTGTCACCAAAGCTTGCTCTCCGGCTGCCTCGAGTTTTGATTCTAGTATATAAGCTAGGAAGGCAGTGATCTCACCCTGTAAAAACCAGCCCCCGCAGTCTCTCTCGTGTGCGCGTTGCTGTCTAATGCGCCACGACGCAGCACGGACGGTTGTGCAGTGTTTTATAGTTCTACGCGGCACCGTGCAGCTCTAGGTATTCCACGCAGTGGGTTTCGCCAGATGGCGCGGCAACCTGCAATATCATGACGCAAGCTAGCCTACGCAATGCAGGTGCGTCTCACCAATGCCGTTCCGAGCAGGATGCAAAGTATGCGACACGTGGCCTTAGTCTTTCGCCATGCTGCGTATTTCTTTGTCTTCCATAGCCATGTTCCTCTGCCGCCCCAGCTTCAGCCTTCCAATTTGGAAGTCTGCGGGCTGCCCGTCGGACTTCTTCCGATTTTGCATCGAGATTCATGTCGAGCACTCAAGCGATTGTCTGCGCCAGCCAGCCTTACCTTTCCGCCCATGTTGTCTGAACATGATCACACTATTGCGGGTCAAGTGGGTCACCAGGCAATGGGCTTCACCTTGAATGGCTACTTTTCGTGGTTGCTACTCGTGCACTTGTAAGCCGGATGAGGGGGGAATTGTTTCTATCCTTAGCGCGTATGATGTAACTGGCTTGGAGTAAAGGTGTTGGAGTCGCGAAGGCAGATTCTCGGGAATTGTTTCTCTTCAGGGCATGGGGCTTTGCCGCAACCATTTGGTGGCATTGCAGGCGGAGGTGGGGGGCGGGCCAGGCCAGACAGTCATGAGCTTGCAGAAGGTGATCCAAATCGGCCGCCTGGGCCCACACCTCATTCGGATGCCAAGGCAGGGCACAGCAGCAGGGGAGGCGCTTTAGCATGGACACTCTTGCTTTTGGTGTGTAAGTCGTAAGTTTGTCCCTAGCACTGATTTGCGCAGTAGGGGAGGAGGGGCAACCAACCGCTGCTGTTTGGCTGCAATATTCGCACCTGTAGCGGCAGTGCAGCTTGCTCAGGATTTCGATCGGCAGCGCATGCTAGAAGGCTTGGAAGGCGTGCTTCGGCCTCGCAGACTGCAGAGTGCACGACCACGTTCTGGCTACTTCGAATTCTGACGGGAGTTGGTTTGAGCCCGCACGAGCACGCGTGCGCTGAGGCTTGACGCTGGCCGCGGCAAGATCGAGGATTGGCTCACTCCTCTGTTTTGGCGTCACTCCGTGCAAGGCTTCGCGTGTTTCTGAGCTTCATGTCCTCACACGCTTGTGCAGCCAGGGTTTGCGTTTTGGCACATGAGGTTGGACGAGCTGCGCACGCAGCGGCGGAAGGAGCAGCTACAGGAGCTGGACGAGTGGTGGCCGCCCTAGCTTCAACGTACTTCAAATAACCTGATTTGGGCCCTAGCCTGTCTTGCCTGCCATCAGCCACGCCTCTCAACTCTTCGCAACACGTGCTTGCCGTTCTTTGTGCGAGTGGGTACATACTGGGCAGGTTTGACCACTTTCAGGAGAGAGGCCCTGAGCTTGCCCTGGACTTGGCACCCTTCCTAGCAATGCATGGCCTGCATCGTTGAATTGAGGCAAAGTTTTTCCGCACCTACGAAAGCGAGGCTGAACAGGAGGGGCGTGTGTTATGAACACCTCTCAGCTGGGCCACCGATCCGATTTTTGCGCTAACGCCGATGCAGACCGGTGAAAGGGAGCCATCTTGAGTGACTCAGTGACTCGGCAGGGACGGATACTTTGTCAGCGGTCTCAGATCTTCGCGCCGAGCTTGGCGACTTGCGAGACTTGGGAAGTTCCATGACTGAAGTTAGGTGGAGAAGCTCTCAAAGGCCGGGAAGGGAATATGGTGTTTTGCTTTGGGGCATGAAACTCACAAAGAGTCAAAGGTTGTCGATTTTTCGCATCCCCTTTTGCTGGTTGCAACCCGTTTTGAAGGATTGCACCAGACGTTCCCGCGCCAGGGAACCGTGCACACCCGCCAAGAGGCAAGGCGCGTGCTTGTTTTGCTGAGGCCTCTGGGTGTTGGACCGGCTGCTACGATTCGAGGGAGCATTGAACTTTCATTGTTTTTCTTCTTTTTTCTTCTCGCCTCTCTCTCTCCCTCTCGCTCTCTCTCCTACTTCTTTCCTTTTAGGGCACTTCATGCAGCTGCAGGTGGAACAATTCGTCGACACCAAGCTGAAGCCAATAGCAGGCTTGGGGTGGGCAAGCTTACATGCAGTCTCACTTGGGCAAAAGGACAAGGCCATGAATGAGGGACCACGCTCCTTGTGAGCTTGTGCTCCCAGCTTGCGGTGAGCCCGGCCCAGCATGCAAAAGCAACTCTGTGTGTCGAACAACGCTGAACATGGTAGCATCATTTGGCCGTGGCTCAGGGGGCATCCTCAATTGTCGGGCTTGCATTCCCCGTGCAAACAAAGAGTGTCCCAAGTCCCAATGCGAAGCCATGTCTTTGGCCAGGGGCTGCAGGGCAGGGAGGCATGGTGCATGCCGCCGAGAAGAAGCGATCCCTCGCGCCGGGTGCCCTCACCTATGCCTCTCTTTCCCCTTCTCACAAGCGGCTTCTTCCATGCCTAAGGCAAATCCACTACGATGAGTCTCATGAGGCCGGCGGAAATTGAGGGGCATTTTTTTTTTAAAACAAAATAATATTATATGGGCTAGCGTTCATCGACTGTGGCGATTTATCTTTAAGCGCAACCCAAACCAAGCCCAATTCCCAAACTTTTCCCGGTTCAGCCCAATGAACCAAATTGATGCTTTCCGCCAAGATCAACCTGCACTCTGACCTAAACTGCCCTGCAACTCAGCATGAGATGAAGCGAACCCAACACCAGTTGAAGAATAGCGGACCATGTGAACATCTTGAGCACCTTAAACCACCTATGCTATGTAAGGTCATCTTTCCATTTTCTTCGAGGGAGCTTGTTCTGAACAACATGAATCGTGTGCGACCATCGTTTATCACAAAAATCCGATTTGTGGCTCGTGAGCCACAATTCTCGAAGATGGGCATGACTTGCCATTTGACCGCGTTATGGCTTTGCCGGCATGTAGCTCGCTCGACATTGGACCGAGAACATGTATCCTCCTATGCAAGTGCACGTCCGACCCTTTTCGGAAGGCTGCTGTCCTTTGGAATTGCTTTCTTTGTGCAATAAGCCATGCTTGTTCTGGGCAACCCGAGAAAAAAAGAATGTCAGCGTTGCCTCACGCTTTAAAAAGCCGTCTCTGCAGGCAGCACAGGCCGTGGAGCATCAGGTGCAGGCACGGAGCGACTCTGCTCGTTCCAGGCGTTTCTGTTCGGGATGCCACTTGGCCTTGTCCTCCACTTTTTCTGTTTTTATTCTAATAATAGTAATAATAATAATTCAGAACTAATAGTAATAATAATAGTAATAATAATAAGGATATAATCAATAATGCTAGCAATAATGATGATAATTAAGAATAATAATAGACACAATATGGATTTCCATTCTACTGAGGGTTTCAGCCGGGCAGCAAAAGGATTAATGGATGTAGAAACAGATGAGTTCCGGATGTCTTTCTCGCAAAAGAAAGTTCAAAAGAAGGACGTAGATAAACATATTCTTCTTCCACAGCGCGCCAGGAGACCGAGGAGGCGCGCACAGATGCAGTGTCTGCCACATGAGTTGAAGAGGGATTTTCACTGCACGAGGTGCAGTCGAAACTTCCAGCATTGTATCGCCCAGTTGGGGTGACAGCTCTAGATCCCCCGCACATGGATGCTGAACTGTGAAGCATTCTGAATTTGTCGCATTCCCGATTGAGCGAGCTAGGATTTCGGCTGAGCAATTTGGTGGGTGAGGTGCTGTTGCAAAGGTGTCAACAGAAATGCCAATGCGGGTTGCAAGCGCCAGAATTTCCCCACTGTGAAAGCATCTCTCAAACTCTGGACGTTTTGTGAAGCCGAATGCGCGAGACGCTTGCAGGCCTTGGCCCAGGCCAAGCAGGATTGGTACGAGCAGCGGATTGGGCGCATGAGAATGCAACAGGCGTGGTGTCCGTTCTGGTTGGGGGAAGCCCCTCTCTGGTTTTGAGGCACATCCATTGTAGCGTGTGCTTTCCGTGCGCACCTGCCGGCTGCCAGGCTGAGCAGGAGGAGGCGCGTAAGCTAGAAGAAGAGATTGAGAGAAGGCCTGATGAGCGCGTGTGCATAGGGCTGACACTTCCATGGGAGCGAGCTGGCAGATTTTTGCTTGTTCTGCGGCTCAAGCTCCGTAGCCCAGTTTGTAAAGGTCGCTGCCATGTGACCGTGTCAGAATGATGGCTGAGCGACAGCGTTTGGCCAGCCTTGGGTCTGCACTTTCCAGCCTGAGCAGAGCAGCACAAACGCTTTATGCCAAGTCACGCAGACCTGCAATGCAGAACCTCCTTGCCTCATGTCGGCGTCACATTGCATTCCGAGGAGCGTGCAGCGTGCCGTGACCAAGGCTAAAAACTAGAGGCACCCACGAGGCACCGAGCTCCGCGCATCGCAGGAAGCCGGTGCGATGCTTCCGAAGGCAGGAGTTGTTCTGTTTTTTCTGGCTTTGTGTCGGCACACCCTCTGGGCCCAGGCCCTGCGGGGGATTCCTGTGCCTTGCGGACGCGGACATTGCCGACTGGCAGGGTGAGGCCGACTGGCAGGGTGAGGTGGGCACCCTGTTGGCCCCCAAGCCAAAAAGTCAGGTCACCCCTAGTTGGTGGCTTGGATGTGTGGTTTGGGGATGTGAACCCCTGTTTCTTGTAGAGAGTAAATGGGAAACCACCCCCTCAACGCCAAACCACCAATCCAAGCCACCAATGAGACGGAAGCTGAACAAGTGCAGGCAGCTTGTGAAGTATTGTGCTTAGCGGGCTGTTTGGGTTTCAGGTGATTGCGACCTCCACGAGCCGCGGTCTCGAAGGCACCCTGCGGCGAAATTGGCTTGGCTCCTGGTCATTGCTCCGTTTGGGTTTGTGCCAGTAATAGGGCGACCCCCACTTCTTAAAACGACAGTTCTTTTGGTTTTCCTTGAAACCAGGGCGAAACAGGGTAGCCACGAAAACCCATCCCCATTTAAAATATTTGGGGGGCCTTCTCCAAGGTGGGGCTTTGCTGGCCGCAAAAGCGCGGACGCCGCACTGCACGAGAGGGTGGGGGACGTGAAGTGGCCTGCCTCTGCCTCCTGTATCCCTGCACACCCTGTTGCCAATCCCTGGACTTTGCCAAGGGCTTTGGATCTCATGTTGACCCTTGATGAAAGAAGCCCCCTTTATGGGGGATTCATCCACCTGTGATTTTGAAGCAGGCTGGGCCGGAGCTTGTGGCGGCATGCCAGCAAAAGGCGGGCCCGGATATGGCACTCACAAAGCATGGAGGGTTGAAGTGCCCGGAAGTGGACACAAGTGACCTACAAGAACTGCTACCAAGCTGTGACCGGCGGAAGCAGTGGCCTTGCAGCATGGCCTGACTTTGGGACACGGGCACCGCAGGTTGTAGGAAGCGTGGGGTATCAGTTGCGACAAATGGAGGCCTTCTCGTTGGACTTCGGTGCAGTGCTGGTGACTGCGGCACCTAACTTGAAGGCTGGTGCGCATGCTGAGTTTCTTGCGTTTAGTTGCCATGTTGCCTGCCGGCTTGCCTTGCCTTGCCTTTGCCTTTGCCCTTTGCCCTTTGCTTTTTGCCCTTTGCCTTTGCCTTTGCCTTGCCCTGCCTGCCTGCCGCCTGCCGCTTGCTTGGGTGGGGAGCACATTGTAGCGGCGCCTCAAAACCCCGAACAATTTTGACAGTTGGTTCTACACCCTGGTTTCATTGGGTTCATTGGGGTTCTGGCAAGTCTTACAAAGTTTCAGGTCAATGGGTTTTGGGCGTTGCGCTGCGTGGTGGAGGCAAAATACATTCTCCACACCGTTGTGCCAGGCGCGAGCTTCTCCTTGGGGTCCAAACAAATTGGAGATAGGTAGGAAGCTGGAAAACAGAAACCAAAGGTCTTCCGCAAGCTTCTTACAAGGAAGTCTGCGCACCTTGGGAGGGTCAAGGGGCAACCTCTTTTTGGCCAGGGCACCCGAGTTCCAAAGATCCGCGGCCCATGCCTGCCGAGCGTGCTGCTGCCTGGTAGCCCAGGCTCAGCCGCTCGTGCGGGTTTCCGTTTTCTTTTGCGGGTACCTTTTTTCAGACTGATTGAAGGGAGCCCGTCCCAAAAAAGAGGAAACCAGATCATTCTGGGCGTCTTTTCTTAATAGAACACAAGGCGCTGCGGGATAGTTTTGGCGTTGCCGCCAGCAACTACTGCTGCGGAAATTGCATTCCATGCCAGCACCGAGCACTCCCAAGCGAGACAGCAGCGCCAGGTCCGTTCAAGTGTGGCGCAGCTTATGTATGTGTCCTCCGAGCGTATACACATGTCGTCTCTCACTGCGCAAGCTTGCACACTTGTGCAATTTCATGGGTTGTTGCACAGGCCGACCAATAAGGATGGACCTCAGCAAAAAAAGAACAGGTAGGCCCCACTGCACACCAAATGTGGGGCCTGCTTTTTTTGACTCACGCAGGTTTGGGCCCACAAGCCAAAATGTAAAACAAAGGTCAACACACAGGCTGGGGTGGAGAGAGCCCAGCCCCCCAATGCTGAGGACTATGCTGCAGACGAGGCTGAAGCAGAGCGGCTTCTGCGGAAGAGCTTTGCAGGCAGGGAGATTCCAAGGTAGAACCCCACGCTTGTCCGCATTATGAAATGGCGCCCCTCGGGCAATCCCACACTGGGCTGTTTGCAGCCGACGGGTCGCAGCCGTTGCTCCTTGCCCGCAGCCTTTGCTCAAGCGCCCGCGACATTTCGGAAGCCATCTCAATCTACAAGCATGACGTCCCAGCGCGAGGTAATCCGACTTGTGGCCACAGATTCTCGTATTGGCATGAAGTGTGCAGTATGTAGTTTTGGGAACCTGCAAGGGGAGCTGCGTGTGATCATGTTGGTTAGAGAGGGGGAAAGAGAGGCGGCTTGGAGACAGTTTGAGACTTGTAGAGAAGACGTGAGTTGCGAACACTCTGTGTTTCGCCGTGTTCCATGGATTGGTTTGGCCGGCTTGTTCCCCCGTGCGGCTCAGGAGTGCAACGGCTTCGCTGAGAGGTTCTTTTCCGCACCAGGGCGGCAGCGAACTTTCTTTTCTGTACGTTGGCGTTAAAGGGCCCCATTTCAGACCCTGCAGCCGCGTTGCTGGTCAGCCGTCGCTGCTTGCTCAGGCACATTGCCAAGCCTTCGCCAAGCTTGAGAGTGCCGATGTGATGAATGGCGAGCAGAAAGCGGAGTGGCAAGGGCCCTTTGCAGTTGTGTGCGGAACCTCTGCATTTGGCATACGCCGGTCGCTCGCGGCCGCATAGCCCAGGTTCCAGCTCTTCAAACGCTTTGAAGCAGAAGCTGAGCTGACCATGCAGAACGCCGCGCAGCTGCACATCAGGATGCGAACGAATGCCTTTGCCATCCTCTGCTCGTGCTTGTGCAGTGATCGCTCGATGGTACGCAAAGCGGCGCAGTGCGGCGCAGTGCGGCGCAGTGCAGCGCGGCGCAGCCTGCCTGAGGCCCTGATGCTTTGGGGCCTGGTTCAGGCGAAAACCTTTGAGGAGCAGTTTCTTGAGGAGGCTATGCACTCGGCGGTGCTGCGGGCTTGCAGTGGGCATTATTGATCATCCGGACCCATACGAATCAACTCCGTTTGTGCCATGTGTCCAAGTGGGTCTTGACGTCTTTGCGCTCGTTGCATTTGTTGCACACCCGGCGGTCCATCGAGCTTGGCGCCTAAGGTGCTGGATGACTTCCTGTCCCTCACGGAGTACCCGTCCTTTGTCAAGCGAATGTTCCGGGAGCTGCAGCAACGCGAGCAGGACTGCGATCGATCCCTTGAACGAATTTAGCACTGAGGGTGGGTGGCTTGACAAGACATGGCAGGCGCTCGCGCAAACAGGATGCCAAGCTTTCTGAAGACAAGCCAGCACCTCCTGGATTTGTGCGGAAAGACTCTTTGAGGCGCCATCTGCACCAAGGTTGGTCGGCTGCAGAAATTATAGGATGGGGTTGTGCCGTGTCAAGGGTGGCGTTTCCACACCTTGGCTCCAGAACGTTTGCGATTTGAGAGGCCCACAACGCCTCTCAGCGACGGGGTGATGTGCAAGCGCCTGTCGGAAGTGGACCAGCGCTTGGCAGAACTGGAGGACGGGGCCAGACAACCGCCGAAAATCAAGCATGCATCACGCCTGTTAGCCTATGCATGCCATTAACCTTTCTGCCCTTCTGGAATTGCAGTATGTGGTTCCTGGTTGTACGTTTCTTGGGGTTGTTTTCTTGGCCTTGAGCCTCGTGTCCGTTTCCATGTGCAGATGGAGCGGAACGCGCTGCTGGTGGAACGGCGTGCCCTGGTTGGCCGACACGTGGAGGCGTCGACCAGCCAGACGCTGAAGCAGCAGATCCAGCTTCAGCGGTACCGGGAGGACGGGCTTGGGGTCTGGGGAGGGGAGGTCCTGGGAAAGGTTTGATGAGCTCCGTCGGCTTTGGCTTTTGCATGGCTCGGGCATGGGAAACGGGGCGCAGGATGTCGGTTTGGACTAAGTGGTGCTCCCGCCGTGCTCCAGCAGTGCTCCAGGGCACGAGGCCCTGCAAACGATGCAGCTTGTCGTTATGGTTTCAAGCCGTTTGCGCATTAGACCACTTGCCTCTGTTTTGGATCCGGACGTCCGCCAAGGCACCAGCTTGGAGCAAAGTGAGAGGCTAGCCGGGCCAGCCGAGTTGGCATTCAAAACAGCCGGCTTTGAAGGGATCCTTCGAGGACAAGGCCTAGCATTGGTTTCTCGGCATCGGCCGTCTCTGTTTCCTGTGTTTCAAGGGCCTTGCAACTCTGGGATTTCAAGGTTTTGAAGGGTGGCATTTGCACCACCGACTGAGATTCAGTGGTCTGGGGACCGTTCCACTGGCTTAATCGTCTGAATCTCTGGCCTTGACAACTTTTTGGAGCAGGACGCACTCAACCGAGACACCTATACGATGCCTTTACTTACTGAATTAGAGCCCCGTATAGCATCACCCTCCTGCGTAATTATGTTGGCTTCTTGCTCTAAGAGGGCAGTTTCTGTCCAATGTAGACGTGATATATTGCTGCCGAAGGAGGCACATGCTTCGAGGGTGCCTGTGTGATATCCTAAGACAGCATTTCCCGAGGAGCGCCCTCGCCGCATGATGTCCAGAACTTTGATTTTAGGCGGACCCGCAATTTGAAGTGGCCCGCCAACCAGCAGACACAGGTCAACGTGCAAACCTGTGGCCAAAAGATTCGTAGAGCAAGTCGGCAATCTGCCGGCCCTTGATTTGCCGCAGTCGTTGCTCCTTGTCCGCAGCCTTTTCTCAAGCGCCCGCGACATTTCGGAAGCCATCTCAATCTACAAGCATGACGTCCCAGCGCGAGGTAATCCGCCTGGTGGCCACAGATTCTCGTATTGGCATGAAGTATGCAGTATGTAGTTTTGGGAACCTGCAAGGGGAGCTGCGTGTGATCATGTTGGTTAGAGAGGGGGCAAGAGAGGAGGCAGGAGACAGTTCGAGACTGGTAGAGAAGACGTGAGTTGCGAACACTCTGTGTTTCGCTGTGTTCCATGGATTGGTTTGGCCGGCTTGTTCCCCCGTGCGGCTCAGGAGTGCAACGGCTTCGCCGAGAGGTTCTTTTCCGCACCAGGGCGGCAGCGAACATTCTTTTCTGTACGTTGGCGTTAAAGGGCCCCATTTCAGACCCTGCAGCCGCGTTGCCGGTCAGCCGTCGCTGCTTGCTCAGGCACATTGCCAAGCCTTCGCCAAGCTTGAGAGCGCCGATGTGATGAATGGCGAGCAGAAAGCGGAGTGGCAAGGGCCCTTTGCAGTTGTGTGCGGAACCTCTGCATTTGGCATACGCCGGTCGCTCGCGGCCGCATAGCCCAGGTTCCAGCTCTTCAAACGCTTTGAAGCAGAAGCTGAGCTGACCATGCAGAACGCCGCGCAGCTGCACATCAGGATGCGAACGAATGCCTTTGCCATCCTCTGCTCGTGCTTGTGCAGTGATCGCTCGATGGTACGCAAAGCGGCGCAGTGCGGCGCAGTGCGGCGCAGTGCAGCGCGGCGCAGCCTGCCTGAGGCCCTGATGCTTTGGGGCCTGGTTCAGGCGAAAACCTTTGAGGAGCAGTTTCTTGAGGAGGCTATGCACTCGGCGGTGCCGCGGGCTTGCAGTGGGCATTATTGATCATCCGGACCCATACGAATCAACTCCGTTTGTGCCATGTGTCCAAGTGGGTCTTGACGTCTTTGCGCTCGTTGCATTTGTTGCACACCCGGCGGTCCATCGAGCTTGGCGCCTAAGGTGCTGGATGACTTCCTGTCCCTCACGGAGTACCCGTCCTTTGTCAAGCGAATGTTCCGGGAGCTGCAGCAACGCGAGCAGGACTGCGATCGATCCCTTGAACGAATTTAGCACTGAGGGTGGGTGGCTTGACAAGACATGGCAGGCGCTCGCGCAAACAGGATGCCAAGCTTTCTGAAGACAAGCCAGCACCTCCTGGATTTGTGCGGAAAGACTCTTTGAGGCGCCATCTGCACCAAGGTTGGTCGGCTGCAGAAATTATAGGATGGGGTTGTGCCGTGTCAAGGGTGGCGTTTCCACACCTTGGCTCCAGAACGTTTGCGATTTGAGAGGCCCACAACGCCTCTCAGCGACGGGGTGATGTGCAAGCGCCTGTCGGAAGTGGACCAGCGCTTGGCAGAACTGGAGGACGGGGCCAGACAACCGCCGAAAATCAAGCATGCATCACGCCTGTTAGCCTATGCATGCCATTAACCTTTCTGCCCTTCTGGAATTGCAGTATGTGGTTCCTGGTTGTACGTTTCTTGGGGTTGTTTTCTTGGCCTTGAGCCTCGTGTCCGTTGCCATGTGCAGATGGAGCGGAACGCGCTGCTGGTGGAACGGCGTGCCCTGGTTGGCCGACACGTGGAGGCGTCGACCAGCCAGACGCTGAAGCAGCAGATCCAGCTTCAGCGGTACCGGGAGGACGGGCTTGGGGTCTGGGGAGGGGAGGTCCTGGGAGAGGTTTGATGAGCTCCGTCGGCTTTGGCTTTTGCATGGCTCGGGCATGGGAAACGGGGCGCAGGATGTCGGTTTGGACTAAGTGGTGCTCCCGCCGTGCTCCAGCAGTGCTCCAGGGCACGAGGCCCTGCAAACGATGCAGCTTGTCGTTATGGTTTCAAGCCGTTTGCACATTAGACCACTTGCCTCTGTTTTGGATCCGGACGTCCGCCAAGGCACCAGCTTGGAGCAAAGTGAGAGGCTAGCCGGGCCAGCCGAGTTGGCATTCAAAACAGCCGGCTTTGAAGGGATCCTTCGAGGACAAGGCCTAGCATTGGTTTCTCGGCATCGGCCGTCTCTGTTTCCTGTGTTTCAAGGGCCTTGCAACTCTGGGATTTCAAGGTTTTGAAGGGTGGCATTTGCACCACCGACTGAGATTCAGTGGTCTGGGGACCGTTCCACTGGCTTAATCGTCTGAATCTCTGGCCTTGACAACTTTTTGGAGCAGGACGCACTCAACCGAGACACCTATACGATGCCTATACTTACTGAATTAGAGCCCCGTATAGCATCACCCTCCTGCGTAATTATGTTGGCTTCTTGCTCTAAGAGGGCAGT